CTGTCATCTCTATCTTTACCATTTGTATCCCATCTCTATCTATCTATCTATCTATCTATCTATCTATCTATCTGATCTCTCTATGTATCTCCTATCTCTATCTATCTATCTATCTATCTATCTATCTATCTATCTATCTATCTGTCATCCCTATCAATCAATCATTTATCTGTCATCTCTATCTTTACCATTTGTATCCCATCTCTATCTATCTATCTAACTATCTATCTATCTATCTATCTATCTATCTATCTATCATCTATCTTATCATCCCTATCAATCAATCATTTATCTGTCATCTCTAGCTCTACCATTTGTATCCCATCTCTATCTATCTATCTATCTATCTATCTATCTATCTATCATCTATCATCTATCTATCATCCCTATCAATCAATCATTTATCTGTCATCTCTATCTCTACCATTTGTATCCCATCTCTATCTCTCTCTCTCTCTCTCTCTATCTATCTATCTATCTATCTATCTATCTATCTATCTATCTATCTATTTTCTATCTATCTATCTATCTATCTATCTATCTATCTATCTATCTCCATCCATCCATCCATCCATCCATCCATCCATCCATCCATCCATCCATCCATCCATCCATCTATCTATCTAATCTATGGCTGGATGGCTCTTTCTCAGGAGGACTTTGATTAGGTATTCTTGCCCTAATGAAGGGAGTTGTATTGGATGGCCTTAAGTATTTTCTGTTGATTGTGGGTGTTCTGTGTGGGAAGTTTGCCCCGATTCTGTCATTCGTGGGGTTCAGAATGCTCTTTGATTGTAGGTGAATTTTGAATCCCAATGACTACAACTCCCAAATGTCAAGGTCTATTTCCCAAACTCCATCTGTGTTCATATTTGGGCATATTGAGTGCTTGTGACAAGTTTGGTCCAGATCCATCATTGTTTGAGTCCACAGTGCTCTCTGGATGTAGGTGAACTACAACTCCCAAACTCAAGGTCAATGCCCACCAAACCCTTCCAGTATTTTCTGTTGGTCATGGGACTTCTGTGTAACAAGTTTGGTTCAATTCCATCATTGATGGAGTTCAGAGTGCTCTTTGATTGAAGGTGAACTATAAATCCCTGCAACTACAACTCCCAAATGACAAAATCATAATTTTTTGAGTGATGGCCACTCCTTGTGTTGTGAGACGTTTTGTTGCCAAATTTGGTGTTATTTCGTTCATTGGTTCTTTTGTTTTTAAGGTACTCATTATGCACAGAGCATTTTTTATATATAGGTGATGATGATGATTATTATTATTTATACCCTGCTTTATCTCTCCCAAATAAAACCTTCTGCAGCCTGGCCCTCAATGTGGACACTCTGCATTAGAGGAAAATGGCCAACCACTGCTGCAAAACGAACAGAATTTCAACCGTGATATTTTAATGATGAACCCAGGATGACACTGGAATATTATGGAAAATAATGCCTCTCATTATTTAAGAATTCGAGCATAAGGAAGCCAATGTCTGTGAATCAGTCTCAAAAAATACACATTCGGTATATTTTTAAAAATAATTTATTTATGGAAACAATTTATGAGAAGTTCTCACGGACAACCCCCTTTCAAGTAAAATCGTATCAATAAAAATATGGCTAAACTCACAAATCGCATTCATGTCCCTATGTCTCAAACCTCTATTATGCCCAGCTCTACAGATTAAAAACAAAGAATTTGCCAGAAACCGCAGCATGGCTTCCTCGGTAAGACAGGATTCATGCTTCAATCCAAGCTAAATTTGAACTCGCATCTTCAATTTACTTTGATTGACAAAAGGAAGGCGGTCTAAGGATATCCCTGTATAGATAGATATGGATGCCACAATCATACATCATTCAGCTTTCCGATACTGAACTTTCACTTCTCTTTTGAAGGTAACGGCCAAGATTCTACATCTGCCACTTAGTTGTGACTTGGTTGTGCAATTAAATAGCCTCTTTTGGTCTGATTCTGGCAAACTTACTCTCTCAAACATTAGCCATGCTCCAATCGCCATGCTCCCTTTTCTCCATATGGATGATGCCCAGTAGAGTAGGAGAGAACATAAATATGACCAAAGTGTCCACAATCATGAATATGTAGAGATGGTGAATATGGATCCATCCCAAATGTGCAAATCCAGGCTATGTATCTGTAGGCCTAGTCTACAATTCCAGTCCACAGTTCAAGCTCTCATGATTCTAAGCTATGACTTCAGTCTATCACAGTTGCACATGATGATTCCATGGCTGAAGGTTCATGGTGGAGGTCTATCATGACTTCAGTCTATCATGGCTATACGTTATGAGTCCACATTCATAACTTCGGTCTATCATGATTACAAGTTATGGCTTCATGGCTGCAAGTTATGAGTTCATGTTCATAATATATGACTTCTGTCTATCATGATTAGCAATTATGGCTTCATGGTTGCACGTTATGAATGCTTGCATGTTCATAACCTATTACAAGTTACGGTTTCATGGCTGCAAGTTATGCGTTCATGTTCATAACTTATGACTTCTGATTACAAGTTATGACTTCATGGTTGCACGTTATAGCATCATGGTTACTGATTATGGCTTCAATCTTACATGCTTGCATATTTTGGCTTCATAGTTCATAGTTGTAAGTTATGACTTCAGTCAACAAGGTTGCATGCTATGGCTTCATGGTTCCATCTTATGACCAGTCTATCTTGTCTGCAAGTTACGGCTTCATGTTTTTGAGTTAGGAGTTCACGGTTATGACTTCAGTGTATCATGGTTGTACTTTATGGCTTCATGGTTGCAGGTGATGACTTCAGTGCATCATAGTTGCACATTATGATTTCATGGTGGAAGGTTAGGACTTCAATCTATCACGGTTGCAATTTATGGCTTCATGGTGGCTGATTATCACTTCAGTTTAACATGGTTATATATTATGGTTTCATAGCTGTAAGTTATGACTTCGGTGTAACATGGTTGCATGCTATGGGTTCATGGTTGCATGACTGGTCTGTTATGTTTGCAAGTTATGAGATCATGGTTACAAGATATGACTTCAACCTATCATGGTTGTATATGATGATCCCATGCTTGAAGATTCATGGTGGAAGGTTATGACTCTAGTCTATCATCATTGCAAGTTATGGCTCAATGGCTTGGTTCATAACTTATGACTTCTGTATATCATGGTTACAAGTTGTGGCTTCATGGTTGCATGTTATGGCTTCATTGTTGCTGCCTGTGGTTTCATAGTTACTGATGATCACTAACATGCTTGCATATTATGGCTTCATGGTTGTAAGTCATGAGTTGATGGGTGTAAGTTATGACTTTGGTCTAACGTGGTAGTATATTATGGCTTCATGGTTGTAAGTCATGAGTTGGGTGTAAGTTATGACTTTGGTCTAACGTGGTTGCATATTATGGCTTCATGGTTGTAAGTCATGAGTTGATGGGTGTAAGTTATGACTTTGGTCCAACATGCTTGCATATTATGGCTTCATGGTTGTAAGTCATGAGTTGATGGGTGTAAGTTATGACTTTGGTCTAACGTGGTAGTATATTATGGCTTCATGGTTGTAAGTCATGAGTTGGGTGTAAGTTATGACTTTGGTCTAACGTGGTTGCATATTATGGCTTCATGGTTGTAAGTCATGACTTGATGGTGTAAGTTATGACTTTGGTCTAACGTGGTTGCATGCTATGGCTTCATGGCTGCACCTTATGACCAGTCTATCTTATTTGCAAGTCAGGACTTCATGCTTGTGAATTATGAGTTCATGGTTATGACTTCAGTGTATCATGGTTGCACACTATGGTTTCATGGTTGCAGGTGATAACGTCAGTCTATCACGGTTGCAAGTTATGGCTTCATGGTTGCTGGTTATTGCTTCAATCTAATATGGTTGCATAGTATGGTTTCATGGGTGCATGACTAATCTATCATGTTTGCAAGTTATGTTCATAGTTACAAGTTATGACTTAAATCTATCATGATTGCATGTTATGGTCGCAGGTGGTGACTTGAGTCTACTTCAATTGCATATTATGACTTCAGTCTTCCATGGCTCCACTTTATGGCTTCTTGGTGGCACCTTATGACATCAGTCCATCATGGTCCTAAGTTATGAGTTCATGGTTTCATGTCATGACTTGTATCTGTCATGGTTCCAAGTTATGCTTTCAGAATTATTACGGTGGCATGTTATGGCTTCATAGTTGCAAATTATGACTTTAGTCTATTAAATATTATATTTTGTTAACTATCCAATATCAAACCAGAAAGACATTTCCCAGTGTTTGAAAAACCTGAATAGGATTTCAAGAACAAGGTACCAAAGGATTATAAAGTTGCCATCAGCCGAATCGGATTTCAAGAACAAGGTACCATAGGATTATAAAGTTGCCATCAGCCGAATCTGCCAGCAGAGAGTACAGCAATGTCAAAGCATGTAAACTTAGACTGGATTAGGTTCTTGTGGGTTTTTTCGGGCTATAGGGCCATGTTCTAGAGGCATTTCTCCTGACGTTTCGCCTGCATCTATGGCAAGCATCCTCAGAGGTAGTGAGGTCTGTTGGAATTAGGAAAATGGGTTTATATATCCGTGGAATGGCTGGGGTGGGGCAAAGAGCTCTTCTCTGCTGGAGCTAGGTGTGAATGTTTCAACTGACCACCTTCATTAGCATTTGAAGGCCTGGCTGAGCCTGGGAAAATCCCCTGTTGAGAGGTGTTAAGATGTGCCTGGTTGTTTCCTCTCTGCTGTTTTGCTGTTGTAATTTTAGAGTTTTTTAATACTGGTAGCCAGATTTTGTTCATTTTCATGGTCTCTTCCTTTCTGTTGAAATTGTCCACATGCTTGTGGATTTCAATGGCTTCTCTGTGAAGTCTGACATGGTGTGGTCCAGCATTTCAGCCATTCCACAGATATATAAACCCTTTTTCCTAGTTCCAACAGACCTCACTACCTCTGAGGATGCTTGCCATAGATGCAGGCGAAATGTCAGGAGAGAATGCCTCTAGACCATGGCCCTATAGCCCGAAAAAACCCACAAGAACCTAGTGATTCCAGCCATGAAAGCCTTCGACAATACATTAGACTGGATTCACCATTCCACCAAAGCTGAAACTATGAAGGCCACAAAGGTCCCTTCTCTTTGATCTTCCCTCCCATAATCAATCTCTCTCTCCTTCATTTCTCTCTTTCTCTCTCCCTCCTTCCCTATTTCCCTCCCTTTCAATCTCTCTCTCCCATCTCTCTAACTCACTGCTGGGCCTATTAATTATTATTGAGTTACTTGCTCTTTAGAACCTTTAAGTTGCAGAATATGGGTGTTTTTTTAACGTTGCCGGTCTCCTTTCCATACAAACCTGCCGCAACATGTGTTTGAAAGTCTTAGGGGACAAAAGCATGTGTCAACATAGCAACACCTTCCTTAAAAGCAAGCCCAACATGCTAAGCACATGGTGGAGTCCAAAGTCTGCTTCATTAAAAAGGCAAGGGATCAATCCCAAAGGAGAGACCAGCTCCTGAAAATGCATCTTGGCGCCACGTAAAGGTTGCATGGTGACCAAAAGACACTTCCTCTGCCGGATCCCAGCCTGGTTTGGAGCTCTGTCTCTTGGATGTCCCATTCGTCAGGGCTTTGGTGGAGACATCTCACTACCCTAGAAAAAGAGAAAATGGTCATAGGAGAAGGAAATCATCATCTGTGTGCTGTCAGACTGTAGACAGGACATAAATTCTGTGTGCCCAACGGGATGCCAGGGATGCCTCAGATTAAAGGCCCTTGGATTCCCCCAAACAGAGTCTTTAGATTGCTTAAAGGTTCAACAATGTTCTTTATTAATGAAAACAAACAGGTACTTTCAAGCTTGTCTATTGGCTCTTGCAATCTTGTTCACTGGGAACAGGCACTATCTTCTTAACTGTAATTAACTAATGGAGAAATCCTTAACTTCTAATCTGGGCAGTCTGTACTTGCCTCGGTTGGTGTGGAGCCCCTGCACCCGGTACCAACTGCTTCTGGCTTCCGTGAGCGACCCTTACCAAGCAGAGCTTTGTAGACTTCCAGGGGAAAAGAAGGAGTTCAGATTTCAGTGATGGCTGGCTGAAGTCCTTCAGCAAAGGAGCTGTAAGGCTGTATGATCCTCGGCCAAGCTGTGGGCTGTATAACCCCGGCCAAGCTGTAGAAGACGAAGCTTTCTACAGGAGCTCTTGGTATTATGTCCTGTGCGAAAGGCTTCTCTGTGTGGACTGAACCCAAAAAGGCTCCTACTCCCTCCAAAAACCCAAAAAGGGGGCAGGACCAGGGAACCTAACTATAATTGACAGGTGGCTTGCCCTATGATTGCAGCCAAAAGAAGCTACCTAGCTGCAGAGTCCCTGTAACTTAGGACTGCAACAAACATTAAATGCAAAGCAAACAAAATTGGAGCTCCTGGAGCAGTTGTACCAGCACAATCTGAGTCCCTCTCTACAATGTCTGACTCTGGTACTCCATCACAAACCTCAATAGGAACATGCCTTTCAGATGTTCTTCTAATCTATTATTACCTCCTGTGATGGGTAGCAACTTTCCAGGACACTGAACAATTATCGTTCCTTAAGTGCTACTTTGAGGGACCACAACTCCCATTACCCTGGGATTTTGAGGATTTTGTAGTTCCTCATTACCTTCTGAATTATGATCTTTTCCATCTCTATCGTCCACAACCTTCAAGGTGAAGGATACAAGGGTTGAATCTGGGTTCTTCCACACAAAATGTTGGTGCACTAACGCTGAAAGATGCGTGCTCTTTGTTCAAGCCATCGAGAGAGAAGAGAGCGCTCGTCCAAACTGCATCCCCTCTTGCATTTCACAGAATCATAGAATCATAGAATCAAAGAGTTGGAAGAGACCTCATGGGCCATCCAGTCCAACCCCCTACCAAGAAGCAAGAATATTGCATTCAAAACACCCCTGACAGATGGCCATCCAGCCTCTGTTTAAAAGCTTCCAAAGAAGGAGCCTCCACCACACTCTGGGGCAGACAGTTCCACTTCTGAACGGCTCTCACAGTCAGGAAGTTCAGATGGAATCTCCTTTCTTGTAGTTGTTCCGCATCCTAGTCTCCAGGGAAGCAGAAAACAAGCTTGCTCCCTCCTCCCTGTGTCTTCCTCTCACATATTTATACATGGCTATCATATCTCCTTTCAGCCTTCTCTTCTTCAGGCTAATCATGCCCAGCTCTTTAAGCCGCTCTTCACAGGGCTTGTTCTCCAGACCCTTGATCATTTTAGTCGTCCTCCTCTGGACACATTCCAGCTTGTCAATATCTCTCTTGAATTGTGGTGCCCAGAATTGGACACAATATAGGGTTCAGAATTGGAGGAGATCCTCAAGGCCATCCACTGCAACCCTTCTGCCATGCAGGAAGACACAATCTAAGCCCTCCTGACAGATGTCCATCCAACCTCTGTCTACAAACTTCCAGGGAAGGAAACTGAATTGAACTCCCAGGCCACTGTCAAATATTTCTTAAAAGTCTTGGGAGAGCTAGAGATTTCCAGGGTGAACATGTTAAATAAATCCATGCAATAATAAAATCTGTTAATATGGAGGGCCAACTCTATGTTGGGCCATATGCTACCCCTCTATTCCACTTTGGTTAGACCACACCTGGAATATTGTGTCCAATTCTGGGCACCACAATTCAAGAGAGATATTGACAAGCTGGAATGTGTCCTGAGGAGGGTGACTAAAATGATCAAGGGTCTGGAGAACAAGCCCTATGAGGAGTGGCTTAAGGAGCTGGGCATGTTTAGCCTGAAGAAGAGAAGGATGAGAGGAGATATAATAGCCATGAGAGGAAGCCACAGGGAGGAGGGAGCAAGCTTGTTTTCTGCTTCCATGGAGACTAGGACGCGGAACAATGGCTTCAAACTACAAGAGAGGAGATTCCATCTGAACATGAGGAAGAACTTCCTGACTGTGAGAGCCGTTCAGCAGTGGAACTCTCTGCCCCGGAGTGTGGTGGAGGCTCCTTCTTTGGATGCTTTTAAACAGAGGCTGGATGGCCATCTGTCAGGGATGATTTGAATGCAATATTCCTGCTTCTTGGCAGAATGGGGTTGGACTGGATGGCCCAAGAGGTCTCTTCCAACTCTTTGATTCTATGATTCTATATCCTCTCCTTGAAGCCGTGAGCTCCACCCAGGAATATAAGCGGGCCACTGTTTTCCGGATAAGCACTTAATTCCAGATGAAAGACGGGTGCGTCAAGAACCCTTGACTGCTACAGCCTCACAATCACACTTTCAGAGCCAGCCAAAGAGGAACTGAACAGAGTTCAAGCGCAGGGCTGTTGTCCCAAGACGTGGAAAAAGACATGTCCAGGCAACAGACTTAAAATCAGTGTGATATCTATTCTCTTCTCCCAGGGAATTATAGGTAGGCAGAGAGGGCAGCTGGGCTTTTAATAGGGTCACCCTTGGAAGGGACCACAAAGGGCATCTAGTCCAACCCCATGCCGTGCAGGAAGACCTAACTAAAGCATTATAACCACCCAACTGACAGTTCTATGGAGTCGATCAAATGATGTTTTCATAGTTTTCATGGGAACAGCACTCCAGAAAAAATAAACGTACTACTACTACTACTACTACTAATAATAATAATAATAATTCCCCTGTTTGGGTATAAGCCAGCACGTCAACAACTTAAATCTAGAAATAGTTTTCTAAGATCTACAGAGACACTCGCTGGAACACCTCAGCAAGCAAGAGTCCAAAAGTGGCAGGCTCAAACCCAGAACCTCAATCAATGGCTGAGACCAAATGAGAGACTCCCTCCTGGGCACACAGAAGTGGCCGACTTGGAAGGCGCTGAACAGACTGTGCTCTGGCACCACGAGATGCAGAGCCAACCTTCAGAAATGGGGCTAAAAGTGGAATCCACAACATGCGAGTGTGGAGAAGAGCAAACCACTGACCACCTGCTGCAATGCAACTGAGCCCTGCTACATGCACAATTCTTGCGGCAACACCAGAGGCATTCCAAGGGGCCAGATACTGGTCAAAGGACATTTAATCAACTACCAAACTTGCAAATTTTGTGTTTTGTCTGTTTGTTTGTTTTGTTCTGTTAGAAATATAATACAATTGACTGGTTGCCCAGACACGACAAACAAACAAAATAATAATAATAATAGTAATAGATTGGAGAAGTTACTGTTTTCACAGAATCATAGAATCATGGAGTTGGAAGAGACCTCGTGGGCCATCCAGTCCAACCCCATTCTGCCAATAAGCAGGAAAATCACAATCAAAGCACACCCGACAGATGGCCATCTTGCCATCTTGACCACACACCTTGATGTTGCTTGCCCACACACTCTTTAGTTCTCATCTATGAACCATTAGAGCAGGCATGGGCAAACTTGTGCCCTCCAGGTGTTTTGGACTTCAACTCTCACAATTCCTAACAGCTGGTAGGCTGTTAGGAATTGTGGGAGTTGAAGTCCAAAACACCTGGAGGCCCCAAGTTTGCCCATGGCTGCATTAGAGTATTCTACACCTGCAAGCCATCTTACCTGTGCCTCCGATTCTATGCAGAGACTCTCATAGAGGTCGTCAAAATGCTTTTCGGGGATGGGTGGTGGGACGTCCTCATCTTCCTCTGTGGTTTTGCTATGGCTTGGTGGCTGAGACTGGCTAGGTGTTTGACGCCGCTTGCACACTTTGGCATACAAGGCACTCAGTCTTTTTTCTCCATCAAAAACTGGCTGTAGAGGAGCTTCCATCTCAGGCGGTATCTCCCGATGCGGGTCGGCCACCTGGTCTGGCTGTCCCAGCATATTGCTGACCTCTGCAGACCTCGAATCCGTCTTGCCATACCCTTTGGATTCCTGTCCTGTAGAAGATTTTGGGCTCTCGTTGTTGGTTCCCATCAAGCGATCTTTGGGGCGTAAGTCCTTTTCCTTCAGCCGGATGCTTTCGTAAACCTGACTATCCGCATTCAGAGTTGGGGGCTCAGTTCTGGAGATGTGGACCTCTTTTGGAGTCATGGGGAGCTTCCTGTATAGCATGGAGTTTGGGGTCATGGGACTGGGAGGACATGATGTTTTGGGGGCTGACCCTCTCAAGCGTTCCACCTCAAGTTTTGGGGACATCTGTGTCCTTTGGTGGTTTGTGATGAGAACATGCCTTTCCTTGGGAGAATCCATGTTTTTATGCTGACGTTCTGAGGCCGTTTCCTCAACCTTCAGTTGTCTCTCGTCTTGGTGGCGTGACAGAGCATTTCCTGAGGATGAAGACAACAGTTTCAGGTTTTCATATTACCAAACAATATTGTTTTGATTGCTATTTTACAAAATCTTGGGATTTATCTGAAAAATCCTATCTCCCTAGATGAACTCATCTCAAGATCCAACAAGGAAGTCCTTCTCTTAGTCCCAACATCATCATTTGGTGCAGACTTAGAAGAAAAGGTGGAGGTCAGCTGTGACCAGCAGTGCTGCAGAATTTGAAGAGGCACGAATGGTGGGTGAAAGGGAGAAGTGTGCCAAGAGGAAGGCGCATCAAGCCAACCCCAACTGAGACCGCCTTCCACCTGAAAACCAATGCCCTCACTGCGGAAGAAGATGCAGAGCAAGAATAGGGCTCCACAACCACATATGGACTCACAAGAATACTGGAAGACAATCCTCCTCGGAAAACGAGGGATCGCCTAAGTAAGTAAGGAAGTAAGTAAGAAGAAAAGGTCACCAGGGTCTGCACTGACCACAAAATAATTGCATTAAAAGTCCCATGCAAGCAAAGTGAGAGTCAACATTTGACAACAAAAGATTTTACCATATACAATGCAAGAAATGCCAAATGTCCAAGTTTGGTTCAGGGAAGGAAGAGGCACTAGAGATCACGTTGCAAATCTACATCTACATTGGAAAATAAACCACACCAAAGAATTTGCAAGAAAGGCCAAATGTCCAAGCTTGGTTCAGGAAAGAAAGAGGCACTAGGGATCATGTTGCAAATTACACCTACATTGGAAAATAAATTACACCAAAGAATTTGCAAGAAAGGCCAAATGTCCAAGCTTGGTTCAGGAAAGGAAGAGGCACTAGGGATCATGTTGCAAATCTACATCTACATTGGAAAATAAACCACACCAAAGAATTTGCAAGAAAGGCCAAATGTCCAAGCTTAGTACAGGAAAGAAAGAGGCACTAGGGATCACGTTGCAAATCTACACCTACATTGGAAAATAAACCACACCAAAGAATTTGCAAGAAAGGCCAAATGTCCAACCTTGGTTCAGGAAAGGAAGAGGCACTAGGGATCACATTGCAAATCGACATCTACATTGGAAAATAAACCACACCAAAGAATTTGCAAGAAAGGCCAAATGTCCAAGTTTGGTTCAGGAAAGAAAGAGGCACTAGGGATCACATTGCAAATCTACATCTACATTGGAAAATAAATAACACCAAAGAATTTGTGAGAAATGCCAAATGTCCAAGCTTGGTTCAGGAAAGAAGGAGGCACTAGGGATCATGTTGCAAATCTACATCTACACTGGAAAATAAATAACACCAAAAATTGTGAGAAATGCCAAACGTGCAAGCTTAGTTCAGGAAAGGAAGAGGCACTAGGGATCACGTTGCAAATCTACATCTACATTGGAAAATAAACCACACCAAAGAATTTCGGGGGGGGGGGGGGAATCTGTCTATGTTTTATAGATTACATATAGCAAAGCCTTTGATTGTGTAGATCAGTGGTTCTCAAACTTTTCTTCACCACGGACCCCCTTTTAAATACCTTTTGTGGCCGTGGACCCACAAGGCTTAACTCAAGGTTTGCTTAAAAATTTATGAAAAGTGTTTACATTTCTGCTCTCACACACTCACCGTTTGTTTGTTTGTGTTCAAACAGACAAAATTTTCCAAAACAAGCACAGAAAATTAAAATTTTGTTCCATTTCTCTTTCCGGCATGTTATTATTTGTTCATTCAGATTTAACAGCAAAACATCATAACATCTCTTCAATCCTTCGCTGACCCTTTGTGATGATATTGCAGTCTCTCAGGGATTCCCGGAACTATAAATCCCTCTTAAGCAAATGAATAAGTTACAACATTTCATTGCCATGATGCTAAACCTACAAGAATCTAGTGTTAGGACAAAATACAGAGAAATGCAATATTTTCCAATTGGCAAGGGGTGAAAAAGGATGCATTTTATCACCCCACCTGTTTAAGTTATATGCCAAAAATATTATACCCAAAGCAGGATTGAATTTGTGAAAGGAAGAATGGAAACTGGAGGAAGAAAGATCGACAGTCCAAGATATTATTATTATTATTATTATTATTATTATTATTATTATTATGATGTTCAAACTCTGATTTTTCTCTTCACAAGGAGACTCAAAGCTTGTGAGTTACGCAGACGATAACATACCATTAGTGTTAACTTTATTAGGATTGTGTGTGTGTGTGTGTGTGTGTATATATATATCTTAAAATTCTAATCATTGTGTTTGAGTTGCACTTTATTCTCACCTTTGCCATTTGCATGCCATGTTGAAAGGAAGCAGGAGCCAAACTAACTACATAAATAACATAAAATAAAGAACTAATCTTTCCTTCCCAACACCATGGTATCCGGTTGCAGGCAGAGCAGTGCCGTGGCTTGTCATCATAATTTTTGCTGTTTCTTTGTTAAACATTTAAGCTAAAAAGCAGGTTCCAACAGAGTCTCTCAGAGCTGTCTTTTGCTAAATCTGGTGAAAACACCAGCCAAACAGGTCCAGCCTCTGAAAGGTTGAAAAAACTGAAAGCACTAAATGCATCCATGTCTAGTGGCTTAGCCTTGGATCAGAAGGATTTTAGAAGTGCTTTTTCTAGTCTGGCCCAAGATAGAAAACAATCTCTCTCTCTCTCTTTCATAATTGTTGTTGTTGTTGTCAATAACTTGTTGGACAACAAGATAAACATGAGCCAACAATGTGATGCGAGGGCAAAAAACGCCGATTTTGACCTGCATCAATAGGAGTCTAGTGTCTAGATCCAGGGAAGTCATGCTCCCCATGCTCTATTCTGCCTCGGTTAGACCACACCTGGAATACTATGTCCAATTCTAGGCACCACAACTGAAGGGAGATGTTGACAAGCTGGGTGTTGTGACTCAGCTGGAACCACAGAGTGCCTCTCATGAGGATGATGGGATTCAGGTTCACAATCTAGTTCAAAATGCCTCTGTTATAGTCAATGAGGACAAGGTATGCAAGTTCAATTTCTCACAGCAAGAAATGAGTTTGATACTGAAACAAGCCAGGTGCAGGTGCAAATTGACTCAGAAAAGGAGGAGAGTTCTCAGCCTGATAATGGGCAGGAAGACAAACTGGATGACACCAACGAACAGACTGACCTTGACGAAACAAGAACCTTAGATCGTGCTGACCGTTTGGAATTCAGAGTTTGAAGGATTGTGAGAATAGCTAACAAGAAGGAGGTCAGAGGCCAAAGAAACGCTTTCATGTTTTGCAAAGGGCATTAAGCAGTGTGTTTGGAACCAAACCTTTGTCAGAGCAACTTTTCATTTAATCAAGAAGATTGCATTTTGCTTGTCTGGATTATCTTGCTGTTCTTCTGTTCATGGTCTCAGGATTCAGTCATGCTCTCATGGTGCTGTTTTGGATCATGCTTCAAAGTGTTGTTTTATATTGATCTTTTGAAAGCTTACTTTTGCTTTTAAGAACTTTTTATCTTTTATTTTTAATAAACTATAAAGACTTCTGGCTGTGTGCAGTTTGGTGTTTTCAGCAAGGTGAACTTATTCTGAGGTGCAACACTGGGATGTGTCCAGAGGAGGGCGACACAAATGATCAAGGGTCTGGAGAACAAGCCCTATGAGGAGCGGCTTAAGGAGCTGGGCATGTTAGACCTGAAGAAGAGAAGGCTGAGAGGAGACATGATGAGGGCCATGTATAAATATGTGATGGGAATAGGTCATAGGGGAGAGGGAGCAAGCTTGTTTTCTGCTGCCCTGGAGACAACGACTCAATGGAACAATGGTTTTAAACTACAAGAAAGGAGATTCCATCTGAACATGAGGAAGACCTTCCTGGCTGTGAGAGAGAGCTGTTCAGCAGTGGAACTCTCTCTCTGCCCCGGAGTGTGGTGGAGGCTCCTTCTTTGGAGGCTTTCAAGCAGACGCTGGATGGCCATCAGTCAGGGGTGCTTTGAAAGCAGTTTTCCTGCTTCTTGGCAGAATGGGGTTGGACTGGATGGCCCATGAGGCCTCTTCCAACTATAGGATTCTATGATTCTATCATCATCATCATCATCATCATCATCATCATCATCATCATCACCACCACCACTACCACCACCACAAGGGCCATCCAGTTGATTCTTCTTCTTCTTCTTCTTCTTCTTCTTCTTCTTATCATCTTGTTGTGTTTAAGATGTGTCCACAGCAGACAAGATCACTCTGCTGGCTGTTGTATTGGGTCACACGTCAGATATTTCCCAAGTGTCTAGGACTGTGTGATGTATCGGTGAATAATGTGTGTAGATCCCAGTAAGGTGGCCTTCTGCTGCTGGCAGAAGATAATTTTGTCAGCGCCGATTGTGTTTAAGTGCAGGCCAAGGTCATTAGGCACTGCACCCAGTGTGCTGATCACCACTGGGACCACTTTGACTGGCTTGTGCCACATTCTTTGCAGTTCGATCTTTAAATCCTCATATTGTGTCAGTGGGTGCTAGAAATAATATCATCAAAGCTGACTGGTACAACCTGGGGATCACAACCAGATACAGTGAAGACATCTGCCCTTGCACTATGCTACTCTGCTGCTGAGTATGCATGCCCAGTGTGGAACACATCTCACCACGCTAAAACAGTGGATGTGGCTCTTAATGAGACATGCTGCATTATCACGGAATATCTGTGCCCTACACCACTGGAGAAATTACAGTGTTTAGCCGGTATTGCACCACCTGTCATCCGCCAGGAAGTAGCTACCAATAGTGAAAGGACCAAGGCAGTGACATCTCCAGCTCATGCCTTGTTTGGATATCAGCCAGCACGCCAACGACTTAAATCAAGAAATAGTTTTATAAGATCTACAGAGACACTCGCTGGAACACCTCAGCAAGCGAGAGTCCAGAAGTGGCAGACTCAAACCCAGAACATCAGTCAATGGCTGATACCAAATGAGAGACTCCCTTCTGGGCACACAGAAAACTGGGCGACTTGGAAGGCACTGAACAGACTGCACTCTGGCACCACGAG